TCATTCCAATATCCTTTGTCCAAGGCTAACTCTGTGTTTTTTTTCCCAGAGATAGTCCTTTATTAAGTCTTCGTGAAAGACTCTAATTCATTTGGAAGTTTTTATGATTTTTAATTTCTATTTTCATTTTTTTTTGGTAAGATAATTTCTATTTTCATTTTGTAAAGTCAATTAAGAAGTTTTATTTTTTTTTTAATAAATTTAGAGAGAAATGAGGGTAAACTTGGGTTTTGAAATTTATAAAGGCTATTTGACCAATCTACAAAAATATGGTATATTTGGACAAATTTTAAAGTAGATATCCTTTATATCCAATTTTCCCTTTTTAAAATTATGTGTTGTTATAACAATCAAGATCTTGACTAAGCTATTAGAGTAATTTAGGATTTTTTATGTGTTATTCTATGTATTTTTTCATTTATTTATTTCTATATTTAAATTCTGATATTAGAGACAAAGGAAATGGCCTAATATGTGCAAGAAATTTAAAAGATATATCATATGTTGACTTCTTGCAATCTCAAATGGTATATCTATAACTTTTTGTGGAGAAATTTATATAGGATTAGATTATATAAAGGGATATAACCATTTGTTCTAAAACCAAGAAAGAAAAACTAAACTTATATTTTCTGAAAAAGAGCTAAAAATACAATAATGTCTACACAAAAAATTTATCTTGCTTCTCTGCTATTATTTATCTGTCTCGTTTTTCCTCAATCAACTGGTTATATTTTCTTCCTCTATTTTTCATATCAAATCAAATAATGTTAGAAAATAAGATAATTGATACGTTTTTTTTAAAATATATTTTTCAGCAATCTTATGTAACTTCGAAGGCTATTGTGTAACTGGTGACGACTGCATCAACGTATGCATAAGTGGGGAAGATCCATTCTTGTGCGTTAAATCAGGCACACATAAAAACAAATGTTGTTGTTTGAAGAAAAATGGTTTTGTACTAGAATGATACATTCATATATTTGAATCATCACCTATCATAAGATTTAAAATCAATAAAAATAATTCATATTAATTTTAATTTTTCTCATATAAATATGATATATTTGTTTCCCATCATCATATACAAAAGAGGTTGAAAAACAAAATCATTGATTCATTGTAATGCAAGATTAGTCTAACTTGTTAATCTATTAAAAATGTCTACGACATTGAGACTGAAAAAAAAATTGGTATTCTAAAAAGAACTAAGTATAAGGGTTTATTAAGCATTTTAAATAAATTATAAGGGTTTTAAAAAGAGTTTATAAGTGTTAACAAGGATTTTTAAAGAGTTTTAAAGGTTTAAAAGGGTTTTAAAAGATTTTACAAAGGTTTTTATAAGACTTACAATAATTTTAAAAAGATTTTATAAGCGTTAACAAGGATTTTTAAAGAGTTTAAAGGTTTAAAAGGGTTTTAAAAGATTTTACAAAGGTTTTTATAAGATTTACAATAATTTTAAAAAGATTTTATATGCGTTTTGGAAAGATTTACAAAAGTCTTAAAAGATTTACAAGAGTTTTCAAATGATTTTGTCATTTAACACATAAAAAGGTTATTTTAAAAAATAAACAATAAGAAGAAGTATTTTTTAAAAAGGACATAGAAAAAGGAGTATTTGTTCAAATGTCCCTATAATTATTTAACTAAAAAAATACCTCATATATCAACAACTAATGATGTATTAAAAAAAACAACTTTAAGATAAAAAATTGAGAAAGTTACTCAGATGTCATACAAATTAGGTGAAATGAACAGAAACATACAAATCTTTTTTTTATTATTGTCATATTTCAGGTATATTTTGTATATCCAGCATGCCCCTGTTAAACGTTATAGGAAAAACATAATTACAAAGAATGTCATTGCCACGTCAGACAAACCGCGTCGGCACGTCAGAAATCGCTGACGTGTATTAATGAACTCAGCCGTAAACCGATACAGCGGCAATGACGGCTGAGTTACGGTATTCTGCAGCTGATTTAAGAAAAATAGCTGAGTTATGAGCAAACGGCTGACTTATGAGTATAACCAAGCGAGGAGTTACGGCTGACTTAATGAAATCTGTCTGAGTTATGAAAAAATGGCTGACTTTCGAGCATAACCCAGCCTAAGTTACGGCTGAGTTTTTACCCGATGGTTGATTTGTCAAAATTTTGGCTGAGTTATTGCTTCGACACAGCTGAATTAACTTTCTCCGACTGGCTGAGTTATCAAAGAGGGCTTAGTTATGGGATGCCGGTACGGCTGATTTATGTTCGAGTGTCATAAATCAGCCGTAATAAGCTGAATTACGGAAAAATCGGCCTAATTACGGCTGACTTAGCAGCGAAAGATTAATTACTAGAATAACATGTAATTACGGCCGACTTATTAAACGATACGGCTGAGTTAAAGATTTTCGGTTGAGTTACGACATTAAACGGCTGAATTTGGCAGCCATTTTTTTTGTTTTTTAATTACTGTAAATGTAATAGTATTCATGTTGCGACTGACTTAAAGTTTTGTTTGATGGCTCGTTTAATTAGGCTGATTTACATGTTCGTTTGGTGGCTTACTTGCCACTTCATCAATTAAAAAATGACATCGGATGCAACATTCCATGACATCATCATCAAAGGAAATACGAAACGTCTTTTATCTACTCGTCTTCTTCTTCACTGTGTTGATCTTCACCTGTGTTTTTCCTTTTTCACATCACCAAAACTTAAATTTTGAACATCCAATTCGTCATCGTCTTCCTCATTCTTCTTCATTTTCGTTCATCTTTTTCCCGATATTATTGATCCGGTTCCGGTAATTGTTGTTTCCGGTAATTGGGTAAAGAAACACAAATATGTATTTAACACCGACGATAGAGGGTGTAGAGTTGTGCAGATAGATGCGGAAACAACGCAAGACAAGCTTGTGAAGTTGGTTCTTGTGATAAGTCAGCCGTGAAGCATTATAACTCAGCCGTAATATGTAAATTTACACAACACAAATTGGGTAATTGTTGATCCGGTTCCGGTAATTGTTGTTTCCGGTAATTGGGTAAAGAAACACTAATATGTATTTAACACCGACGATAGAGGGTGTAGAGTTGTGCAGATAGATGCGGAAACAACGCAAGACAAGCTTGTGAAGTTGGTTCTTGTGATAAGTCAACCGTGAAGCATTAAAACTCTACCGTAATATGTAAATTTATGCAACCTTTCGTCTTCCGTGAAGCATTATAACTCAGCTGTGATATGTAAATTTGCCGCAAAACAATAAGTTACGTAACCTTTCGTCTTCCTCTCTTTTTTCTCTTATGACGTGGCTTTAATTTTTTTCCTCTTAGAGACATGAGTTAAACTAATTTTTTATTAATTATATTTTAATTTAAAAAAATAAAAAATCTCAATTATAAAAAACTAATCAAGGGTGTTAATTGTAATTACACAAAGACACTAAACATATGAGTAATTTTCAGAAAAAGTATGATATGCTAATAATATTCCAAACTTTCTATAACACTAGATAAGCCCCGCCTAAATAAGCGGGTATAATATATAAATATAAATTGTTATCGATGATATTTGAATTTTAATTAATATAGTAATCCATTCACTTTCCCTAATATTTAATAATTTAGTATGTTTTGTTCTAAACAAAAATTAAATCTTACACATTCTATTTTTCTATACATTTTAACTATTTATTTCATGGTAATAAACTGAATTTTAATTCTACACACTCTTTCGTATTGATGATATTTAAATCCTAAATAGTAACCGACACACTTTTTATATATTTAATTTAGTATTTTTTTTATTAAAACGAAATTTCAATCCTACACATTCCATTTTGCAATATAATTTAACTATTTATAACATCATAATAAACTTGATTTTAAGTCTTCATAGTTCATCTTAATGGATAAACTGCTAATAATAATTTTGTATCAAAATCGTATAGATATCATATCAAATCTATATCTTAGTTAATATTAAAAATTTAAATATAATTAACAAATAACAAAACATTTAATAAAAAAATAGAAATCCACAAAAGTTATGGAAAACAAACATTGTTTAAAATATAATTTTCTATATAACATAATCTCATAAGTTAGTTTTACATCGTGACAAACTAATTTTAAATGAGTTAAAATTAATTAATAAATCATTAAAAATATATATATTAACATTCTCATTAAGAAATCAAAAATTCAATCATATAAGCCATTTTCCCAAATATCTTTAGTTTATAATTATGACTACATGCACTAAAATTCTTAAAATAAAATTAAGTATAACAACACTAATTTTTTTTTATCAAATATTCAATATTCGTTCGTTTTTATAAGCTCATTATTTTTTGTAAAAATTTTGTATTTTTATTTGACGAATAAAAACACTATATTACGATAATAAATACAATTTTATCCAATTAAATTAATGTTAAATAACTTATATTGTTATTTAAAACTTCAACCGTTATTGTTTATTTGTTAATATCCATACTAAATGATTTTATAGAAATCAATTAACACATGCCAAAAATTGACCAATAACACATGTGAAGAGAAGTTGTTAGTTTTATTTTTTGACTAAGAAAAATAAAGTTAACAAATTTTAAAAATTAGATATATAAATTAGTATATATAAATATATATTTTTTTAGTTTTCCTATTTCATTAATGAAGAAAATTAAATATTTTTTTGATATATGTCAACATCTGATCGATAGACTTGACACGTATCACGATTATGCGAGTTATTAATTTTGAAAACCATATTTTATATAATAAGAGATCTGAGTAAATATTCTAAAAAATTTAGTATTATAATGAGTTTATAACCGATCAATATATATATATATATATATATATATATATATATATATAATAAGATTCTACTTAAATGCGAATATAACACCTTACTAAATAAATTAAAATTTAAATCTAAGCAAATTAGGTATATACGAAGAAAATATATTTTTAAAAATATATAAAATTCCAATTAAATGCGAATATTATAGAAAGAGAGGAGAAAACCCTAAAATCCATCTTCGTTGTCGTTTCGTCTGCTTCAACATCGGAAAGTTTTCACCTTTTTCGTTTTCGTGGTGGCGATTTCTATTCTCCGGCTGAAACCTACCTTCAGGATTCAGCCTTTCTCTGGTACTCTTTCTTCCGTCTCCTTTGGCTTCAATTTTACTTGAATTGCATAGTTTTTATCTTGCTTGACTGATGAATTCATCTCCGAACTAGGCATGCCAATATTTATCAGTACTGATTGTGTGTAAGGTTAGGTTTAGGGTTTGTGGAGTTTGATTGGTGTTTATTGTTAATTGGGTTGTTGGTTCCTCCTAAAAAGTTGTGTACTTTGTAACTAATTGGGTTTGATTACACTATAATTAATCAAACTCTGTTTGCTATATTCTTTTGTATGATTGATGATGTTTAAAAGCTGAATCCTTTCATGAATCAATTCGTTAAGTCGTGTTAATAACCTAAGTTTTGGAACGAACAGAGTGTTTTTGTTCAGTTTGGCATCTTTATTAGATCATGAAACTTCTGTTTTTTTTGGGGCTTTCTTGACAATTAACTTGTAATCAGGCTCTATGATGTTCTTAAGCTGGGAAGCTTTGATCTTAAAAGTCTTGGGCTGTTATGAATTTGCAAGTTTACTATGAACTTGTTAGACACTTTTTTGTTGCTTGGGGTCAGACAACATGACTACTTAAGATCATGTGTATCACTATATTGAAAATATTGTATTAAATTGTTGATTGGTGTTTTGTTGCATTTTACCTTCAGGATATATAACCAATGTATGATTTAGATTTAAGCATCACCATTGAGAGCTTTTATTCTGAGAAGATCTTTGTTTCATCTTTCTGATGTTATGTTGCTGCTTGTGCAGGTTTTCAGTTGGATTCAGATAGCAGCTTGTACTTGTTCTAGATAATCGGTAACAAATATGGATGATTGGGGTAATACTTCTTATAAGCTTTGTTTTTAATACACAGTGTGTAGTGTCTGTGAATATTTTCGTGTTCTCTAGTTCTTGCATTAATCTCCCTGATTATGTAAAAAATTAGTACTGCTGTATACAGCTACATATATTTTGGTATGTTTTCTGAGATGATTGGCTCTATTGTTTTTTTTATTGAAGTTTTCATATGGAAAATATATTAGAGTTCTCACTTTTAGGTTTTCCTCTTTGATTTCAGAGGCCGAGGACTTTCAACCACTTCCTGCAAAAGTTGAACTGAAAAGTAACTGGGATGATGAGGATGTGGATGAGAATGATATCAAGGACTCGTGGGAGGAGGAAGATGTATCTGCTCCGGTATTGTTTTCTTTCATTATATACTTTTTATCATTGGGTTGTGTTTGTTATTTGATATTGAGGTTGCAGCTAACAGTCTTTGTTTCTCCTGTAGCCACCTGTTGTAAAGCCTGCTTCTGAGAAGGCTCCAAAGAAAGCAGCAGTAAAAGCTGTTGAAAAGAAGGTTAAAACTGCTGAAGCTCCAAAAGGAAGGGAAGAACCTCTAGATCCTATTGCTGAGAAACTTCGTATGCAGAGGTAGAGTGTAGAAATATTTCACTTATATATGCTTCTTTCGTTGGTTCTGCATTGGTTTGGTGTAATGGGAAAAATAATCATTTCTAGTTGTGTAAGAAGCATGTGACTGAGGATGTGGACTTATTAAGGCCAGTATGCTTATTTTTAATATTCTTCTTATCTTAGGCTTGTGGAGGAAGCTGATTACCAGTCAACTGCTGAACTCTTTGGAGTAAAGACTGAAGAGAAAAGCGTTGATATGTTAATTCCTAAGTCTGAAAGCGATTTCTTGGATTATGCTGAGTTGATATCTCAGAGACTCGTACCATTTGAGGTATGCTATTTTCATTTCCTGTTACTTTCTTGTCTTAGCTAACTGTCATTTATTTGTACATGACCAAATACCATTTTAAGACCAATTGGCCCGCATTTTAACTAGCTCTGCTGTTTCGCAGAAAAGTTTTCACTATATCGGGCTACTCAAAGCAGTGATGAGACTTTCTGTGGCCAATATGAAAGCAGCAGATGTTAAAGACGTTGCGTCGTCCATTACAGCTATAGCAAATGAAAAATTGAAGGCGGAGAAAGAAGCTGCTGCTGGCAAAAAGAAGTCAGGTACACAGACAATCAGTCTTTCTTTTTGCTTTATTCTTTGGATTTTGATAAGACTTGTGAAGTAGATGTTTTTAAACTAAGCAAGCATGTCTCTGTTTCTAAAATGATCAGATGATAATGTTTCTTTCTTTTCACTGTGTTTACTAGGTAAGAAGAAGCAACTTCATGTGGATAAGCCTGACGATGATCTTGTTGGGGGTCCTTATGATGCCATGGATGATGATGATTTCATGTGAGAAAATGGCATTTTGGAGATTGCATTTTACCTCCTATAGGATTGTAACTGAGAAGAGGTTTAAATCGTCGGCGGTTTTTTGTTTAATTATATACTGAATTCCAACAGTATTCCTTTTCTCGGTTTTCTTTGCTCAGTTTGATTTGAAAAAATTGTGTGATAAGATTTTTTTTGTGGGCAAACTTTTTACAATTATATGAATTGAACGAGCACTAAGATCCAAAAGAACATATATGATATATGAACACAAAGAGACCAACCAGATTGGAACCGTCCTTAGCTTCCTATATTGCTGAGCCGAAAAGCCTCTACGCCTGACTCCATTTAATTAGCTATTCTTCATCAAAGACTCTTCCTCAATAAAGACTGTGATTGTAAATATCGAATGCGGGACCATCGACTTATCGAAATCAAGGTTGTGAACCAGAGGGAACAGATTCCGCCACTACTTTGAGAGAACTGATGTGGAAGCAGCAATTGGCTATGGCTCCAGACGCAGTTTCCATCTTTTTTGGGAGCCATATCCACAGAAATGTACCTGCAAACCATAGTCAATTGTGGGAAGTTCGTATATTTGTTAAATTACACAATTTATGATTAGATCTCTAACAGCAATTTACTTAGAATTCGAGGCAGCATATATATTTAGTAAGATGGTTTTTGGAAAGTGAAGAGCATTACAAGAGACCTAAACATGTAAAGACAAATCAATATGTAGAGAATCAAAAGAATTGGATCTTGCACTTGGAAGAAGTTTTGGGGAGGAGCTTCATTAGTTTACTGGTGAGTGGTAAGAACTTATCTTGCTCATCCACTTGAACCTTAACTTTCACAACTTCAAGGCATTTCAAATTCTCAATGAAATGTCTCATCTGTTGCACTTCTCTCCATCTTCCTCCATACCCATAGATCTTCAGCACCTTCACTCGACACGACAATAAACAACACCTTTTCTTCGTTCTCTTCTTCTTATGAACACATACATCCCCACATTCATCTGTGATCTCATGCACAAGACCCTGAGAGGATAACAAACGCCATAGTTCGCAAGAAAAAAGAGAAATATATGTTTTGGTGTGTTAGATTTGCTGGTTCATTTTCATACATACCTTGATGACAAGAGTTTCTAAGTTTGGAGAGTTCTTGACCAGAAGTGGCAATACTTGCCAACCGCGTTCCTTGTGGCTCTCAAAAGATAACTTTACGAGGTTGTTGAATTCGGGCATCGATTCAGAGCAGGAATAAAACACCTGATGATCACACAAACAGATTATCAAACTAAGTCATGACTATAACATCTGCACCAAAGCAAAAACAGAAGTAGGAAACTGACCTCAAGAGAATCAGCAGACAAGTGAAGGGTCACAACATTCCTTAACGCTGCAATGAGTTTGGTTGCATCACCCCAAGGACCATCCGTTAAAGTATCATACCCATAATACAAAGCTTTTGGTGGGACAAAATCATAATACTTCCATAATCGAAGATCAAGTCTAGCTTCGATTAACGAATCAAACTGAACAACATAATCCTCTGCCACATAACTAGAGTAGTCAAGGTACACAAGATTGGGAGTCTTAATGACAAAACATGAATGGTCTTTTATATTATGAGAACGGTAAAAAATGGACATCCTTCGAATAGATGAACCCGAAACCTGTTTTACCCAACCCGCTCTATGAGGATGATCATCACATATGTTAAATTCCTCAAGCAAAGGGCTAGCGAGGAGACACTCATACAAATCAACAGGTGCATTCGCAGGAAAACACACTAAAAACAAAGAGAGAGTTTTGAGTGAAGGGAAAAGAACACCTCCTGGAGGAAGTTTGGTTTGGTAATAACATCCATTGGATAGAGTGAGTTTAACCAAATTCTTGCTAAAGAACTCAGGCAATAGACATTGACATACTGATGATGACAAGTGTAGCTCCAAGACTCCATTTTCCAACACACTGTAAATGATATGGTTGATGTTTTGTAGAGAACTCCATTTCAAAGAGAGTTTCTTGATGGGAGAATTACATAGCAAGACTAGAGTATCTTCCATGAAATCAAGGTAGGTGCTGTGACCAGTTGCTGGTTTTGTTCTGTTGGGATATATGACTATGAATGGATCGAAATCAAGGTTGTGAACAAGAGGAAATAGATTTCTCCATCGCTTTGAGAGAACTGTTGTGGAAGCTGCAAGTTTTGTAGGGAGAAAAGACAGAATCTGTCCTAAAACCTATCTGGTAGGGTACTGATTGAATCTCTAGAAGACGTTTTCACTTTTTTGGTAGCCATAGAAGAAGAACCTGCAAAAACCAGAGTCAATTAGGAACAAATGAAGAAAACCCTCTTCAACAAACAAGCTATTTACACAGATTATGACAAAAGCAAGAAGATTTAGATCCAGAGAGGAGAAAAAGTTTATACCTTTGAGGATATAAACCAAGACAATACGAAAAAGACTGAAACTTTGTAGATCTAGATACAAGAATCGTAGAAACCTTTGAGTTACAGAACTAGATGAAGATCGAACAAATTGAGAATCGAGTTTTTGAATAAATGGGCCTTTGGGCTTTTTACAGTGTACTTAAAATCGATTCCAGCTATGGGGATTTTGTTAAACTAGTTTTTTTACCCAAGTTAAAAGGATGAGATGATTTTGAATCGGGTGAAAAAAGAGAGAATTATGGGAGGCAAACAAAAAAAAATTGGAAGAGAACGAAGGAAAAATGTAGAGAAATCTAAGAAATGTGCCACACAATGTAGCAATTCTTACCAAAATTGCCACATTCCACAAATCCTTTTCAATTGTGCCACAATCCAATTTATAATCCAACTTGCAAAGTCCATTTTGCCCTTTAGAGAGAAAGCTTTTTTGTTCAATCTCCATTCCTTTCCTTTCTCTCTCATCTCTCTCTCTCTTTTTTCTCCAAAAATTGAAGCTCAATCTCCCTAGATATAAGAGTTCATCACGTTTTCGATCTAGGAATACATCGTTGGCGATTTAGCGAGATAAAAAATCAGGATCTGAATCTGGTTTGGAAAGTGGGAACGAATCTAAATCTGAGAAGGAAGAAGATACATGTGGACAACATTTCTTGTCTACCAAAATTTTCGAATTATGTCGTTTCGAATTCTTGTCCACCAAATTTCTTTGAAGTCTGGTTGTTTCAAATGTGGACAATATTTGTTGTCTTCCAAATATCTTCTCAATCTATTGTTTCAAATGTGGACAACATTTCTTGTCTACCAAAATTTTCGAAATATGCCGTTTCGAATTCTTGTCCACCAAATTTCTTTGAAGTCTGTTGTTTCAAATGTGGATAATATTTTTTGTCTACCAAAATTTTTCGAAACAAAGTTTTGTCCACCAAATATCTGATATTTAGATATTTTCGTCTAAGGGTATTTTCGTCTTTGTCTGCCTGCCATAAAATGGAGAAATGGCACATTGAGAAAAGAAAACTTTTTGTGGCAATTTGTATAAGTTTTGCTACAGTGAATGACACATTAGACCAAAATCCCAAAAATGTAAGCGGACAAGTGTTCGGAAAGAAAAAGAGTTTGAAACTAGAAGAGATGTATATTCAAGTGATAAGTGTTTTACATATCAATAATAAATTATTTAATTAGTGATGATTTATAAAATAAAAATATTAAAAATTATTATTTTTCTCGATTAACTATATTTTAATAATTTAATTAAATTTTTTTAAGTAAATTGTAAATATAAATTTCTGTACCGACGGATCTTTGTCTCGCCGACAGTTCTTCATCGTGAAATCTTTCTCGCCGATTATCATTTGTCTCAAAGACATTCCATAAGTATGCCATATATTCTGTAGACTGTCAAATATCTACAAATTTTGTCAAATATTAATAGTCTTTGCTAAATATCGGTAAATTCCGCCAAATTTTCGTAGACTACCAAATATCCACACACACTGCTAAATATCGGTAGACTCCGCATAATAATATCATCACACTATGCTAAATCTCCGTAGACTCTTCCAAAATATTTGCAGTCTTTACCAAATCTCCAAAGAATTTGTCAAATTTTCGTTGATTCTGCCAAATTTCCTCAGACTCTGCAAAAAATAATTGAAAACTTTGTTAAAATATCTGCAGACTGCGCCAAATCTACTCAGACTTTACCAAACTATCCGCAAATTTGAATCTAATTTGAATCTAGTTTAGCAAAATCTGCCAAATATAAGCAAATTCGATGAAAATCTGATAAATTTGGCACACTTTCGGAAAGTATGAAGAATCCAAAATCATGTAAAATGATATCCATAAAACGATTTTAAAAATCGTTTTAAAAATGATTTCTAAAAACTTGTAAGATGATAACTAAAAAAAGAAGGGGGCATGTGAAATGTTTTTTTTTATAATTAATGTAACATCTAATCTTACTTGATTTTTACCGTGGAAGATGACATATTGAGTGAGCAAAACAAGAAGATAATTAAGGATTAAGTCGAGTTATGGGCAAAAAACAAAACTTTTAATATAGTTTTCATCACTGCACCACGTAGCGTATACCTTGGCTTTTTCGATACTATGGAGGTTCCCGTAGTGACTTTATTACCTTCAATAAAGCTCTTGGTGGCCTAACGATGATGCAGAAAAGTCAAGAGGCCATGAGCAGACATTTACGAATCGATACAAGGTGCAAAGTTGTGGTATTACACCACATTAATTGGAAGCCATTGTGAGGGATGATCAAATGCAACTTAAGTTGATGCAAACATATTTTTAAGGTAATGTCAGGATATGGGAAGGATGGATGATGGAACTTGCGCGATGAAAATGGATGTCAACAAAATACGGGATTCCTCGACACTGAAGATTAAATCAAAAGTTAAAAAGAAAAAGTGTGGTTCTTGCTGAGATTTAGGAAGTACTGTTATGATATTGTGGGATTTCTCAAAGAAAATGTAAAATACCGAAACTCTTCCTTAGCGATATGATATTACTGGATAAATTATTAAAAATCTTGTACAATAATTTTTTTTTTTTGACTAGATCATTTTAAATAATAATATTGACAAATTCAATGTTTTCGGCCACAAATAAAAAAAATAATATTATACGTGATAAATTAGTGAACGAAAAAAAGACGAGATAATATCTAAAAACCATATATAGCGCAGTCCCGAATACTATCGTGGA